CATAAAAAGATCGCGTTAAGGATTCTTTCGTCCCACAGGGAAAGTTGACAGGTTGGGTTAGGATAAACACAGTTAAGAGAGTTACTATCACAATTTTCAAAGTTATAAAATCTACATTACAAGAAGCGAAAATATAATGCACATGCTTTCTACCGGTCAGAATTTTTCCACAGGGGACACCACAATTTTTCCAGTGGCTCCCGAGCTATACCATGCAGCCATATCTATCCTTTCCGTGTCATTCAGAACGGGACATGCATTAGGGAGCATGCTTATTATACATTTCATTCTGTAATAAAATAATAACACCGGACTGACAAATTTAGTTTTAAAAAGTGTTTATAAACCCAAAATAGGGTTTTGTTGATTCGAATAGATACAAATTTAGTCCATAAATTCTATCTCCTATATGTACGCATCTTGTAACAAGTTTGAAAACATGCCCCCAACAAGTTGTCTTCGTACTGCTTATCCCAAATTGTCAAGGCAAGTATGGAACAACTTGTTAAAAATTGTAACTGCAATTAAACTTGTTGATATTATCAGACTTGTTGCAAGGTCGGACCAACAAGTCCGATACAGTCATGATATACTAGACAATACTGTTACAACCTTGAGTCGTCAACCTTGTAACATTCTTGTTACATCATGACTGCATCGCACTTGTTAGAAAACATTGTAACAAGTCTGATAATAACACCAAGCTTGTTGTTACAAGTTGTTAATAATAGCTTGTTCCAAGCTTTTTACAACAACTGGGAAGAAGTAGTGTGGACAGATTTGTAACAACTTGATTATAACAACTTCTGTAACAACTTCTGCGTTTTTACGTGTATTCGGCCCGCAAGTTTTAACCAGTAGCGAATTGTTTTCAAAGTAGAAATTAAAACCAGTTAAGAATAGTCTTTGCTTGATATCAAAAGTATACGAGTCTGTCACTGAAGTCTCTCTTACATAACTTAGTACAAATACTACTAGTTGTTTACACGTTTTTTTTCTTCGCTGTGACGTTTGGAATGATATCAACTAGGTTACGATATCAATAACAAGCCAGAATAGACGAAGCCTACACAAATAAAATAATATCAGTTTACGATTTTAGTACTTGATCAAATATAACGCCTAAGTTTTTCTTTGTAAAAGCTCGAAAACAAGAAATTACATAAAAGTTACGCGTATTAAAAACGCGTAATTAGCTGTAAATATATAGCTGAACACATTGACACCCAACTAAAATTATTCCTTCAAAGCGCGTCATAAGGCTATAGGCCTAATAACAATATGGTTAAAACATTTTAAAAGCGACGTTTTCTAAAAAAACTTTTACTAAAAAAATCGTTAAATTAACATAATTTCTTGTATAGAAAGCTAGTTACATAACCGCTTTACCGGAATATTACGCGTCCCATGCAGGCTCAAACAGATTAACTTGCGAGCAGATATAGGTCAGTCATTTGAAGCTAGGTCGTGCGATTGGCTAAAAATGTAATGCTGATTTAATACCGTAATGATTTAATATTTAATTTAAAAAACTAACTTGGAAAATCAATTAAGCATAATTGAAGATCAGCTAAGTAGCAAACTTAATGTTTTAACGTTTTAAAACGTTTTTACTGTTAAAAAAATTGAGTTTACTGATCTTGAATTATGCATAATTAATTTTCCTAGTTAGTTTTTTCAATTAAAAGGGCTGAAATGCGCCTTAAAAACCATCATTCAAAAGGCTGAACTGTGCCTTTAACCAAAAGACATGTATAGTTACTATTAGGTATAATAAAGTTAGCTTTATTCAGTTATGTTTTATTATAATACTTTTTGTTTGTGGAAACACCACGTAAATTTATTACTGCATTTACGTGGTGTTTCCACAAACAAAAAGTATTACATGTTTTATCGCCATACAAACCTACAAAGAACTTATGTTTTATTAGCTTGGTTTAATACAGTTTTCTTTGGTTAACGTTTAGTTCAATTTATTTTCGTGTGCGTAACTTTTCATGATGATATAATTTCTTGTTTTTCGAGCTCCTACAAAGAAAAAACTTACGTGTTATATTTTATCAAGTACACTAAAATCGATATTATAACACTTGCGTAACGTGGATTCGTTTCTATATGGAATCCTAAGTGACATATTTCATATCAGTTGATGTTACAAATACGTATACTATGACGTGGTATATATATATATATATATATATATATATATATATATATATATATATATATATATATATATATATATATATATATATATATATATATATATATATATACATCAAAGTGAATTAAATTACCATACTCAGCGAGTATAAATATATGCCAAAAGCCTTCGCTTGAAATTAGTTAAGTCAAAGAGAAGACGTTAAAGGCATTCAATGATTAAGACATCTCAAAAATGAAGACAACATATTTCTTTCTCGCTCTTGGTGTGCTCTTTGCTGTTGCTTATACAACTCAAATCGAAAAAGGAGCCGACAATGGTCGTTATGGTTTGGTTAAGCATGAAGATAAAGACAATGTCGAAAGGTAGGTGGAAGATTTTCAGTATTTTGAGTTTGATGCCCATGCAGCTTTTTTCACCTCTCTATCGCTGTCAAACATTTTTCTTTTTTTGTGCAGTGATAAAATATCCTTAAAATAATCCCTGAAATCAGGAGAATTGTATTGTGCATTCAATATATATGGCTATATATAATATATAAATTTTCCATCTGATAGAGTAATGTTATTGTTCTTTAAGATTCCAGACGTATTTACTTAATTCACCACAGTTTGGCTTCTCAAAGTTACTAAATGAAGACACTAATTCATTACGTTTGTTCAAAGTAGCCAGTTCAGGTTTACATATAATAAAGTATTTTTCCCACAGGCAGAGATTACATCTATTAGAAGCAGGGCTGTAGGGTTTGGCCCGTTTCAAGGTTTGCCATTTAATATGAAATTCAATTCCTTTGCGCTTTAACTGCCAGACATATTTACTACGTTCAGTGGAGTTCCTTTTCTCGTACAAAGTAAATGAGGTTTTGTGGTTGAGATAGAGTATCTGATAGAGTAATGTTATTGTTCTTTACGATTCCAGACGTATTTACTTAATTCACCAGAGTTTGGCTTCTCAAAGTTATTAAATGAAGCTTTGTGGTTGGTGTATCGGGTTTTTAATTCATTTTCTGTTAACCCAACATATGTTTGAGTGGGCCATTTGTCAAATGTTTTCACTGTGGCTTGGTAGATAACAGATTTTGCCAGAAAATGTTTGGACATAGGGCATTCTCTGGGTTTTTGACAACTACCCTTTTTTTCGTCGGGGGTTTTAGCTCGGTGGGATAGCTTGGATTTGTCAATAATATTAGTTATCTGGGAGAAGTGTTTTATTATTTGTAAATCGGACATTGCAACACTTAATCGACGCAACGAACTTGTCTCCACGTGTAGACACGCTAATAAATTTCTACTTGAAAACTTTATCGAGATTTAAAAACGCCCCGAGAGCTATAAATATGTTATGACTGCATGTATTGTCATACGCATTTTTCTGTCGCGTGAAAATCCCGCGGACCCACGAATAGACCGCGCCAGTCCCGCAAGCTGCATGGTTCTCTGGTTTTAAGAGCCAAATGCTGATTGGCTATATAATCGCTTGGAAGTCGAGTTCCCGGCCGCGTTCGCTGACATTACTTTCTGAGCAAGGAAGGAGCGTGAGAAATGACGTTTGGTTTCGCAGACTAAACGATTTGTTATCCCAAGGGTATCTTCAACAACGTTGTCATTCTTAATACAACGTTAAACTAAGATTTTCACGTCATTAAGGAGGTGAACAGTGCGAGCATATTCCGAGTTGAGTACACAGATATCTTATATATGCTAGACAGTGCATCTAATTATTCTGCAATTCAAAAATTGAAGCCGTGATTGCAGACTCAGGATATTCCCATGAAATGAGAAGATTCGTATGTTTTCTATTTCTTAAACAGGGAACTTAATTAATAAACGTTAAGTTAAACCTATTCCAAATACATTTTTAAACTATTCAAATGATGAAAGTTATTGTTTTTTAAGCGTTTATTAGCGAGTGGAAAGTATCAACATGGCCGCCATCTATTCAAATGGGGGTAACCTCTGGAATATATTTGGCTTCAATTTTACTAAAAGAGATGCGCTATCTAGTGTATATAAGATATCTATGGTTGAGCACCTTCCGAGTACATGCTAATTCTCAAAATAAAATGGCTTTAATTATAAAATTTATATTCAAGTTAAGAGTCCTGTATATATGGTATGATGTCATGGCGTTCAAAAATCTTACCAGTTCCACGTTGGACCAGCTGTTATAGTTTCAATTTACTAATAAATTGGAACATCGATGTCACATTCAGTTGATGTGATGATTTCATCGTTAGCTGCATGTTTGTCAATCGGCAAGTCGAGAACTTTTTAAATAAATGTTACATATCTTTTGTATATATAGTGATGAAAATCAAGTAGACCACGGCATGTTTCGTCCTCTTCGTCGCTATCGCTGGAGTGGGCATCGCCAACGTACTGATTATGGAGGCGGCAAATAGAGAGAAAATTGAAAATACAGGTTGGTAATAGTTGAGAAGTGGTATTGTGCTACTAGACCAAGCAAATCATTTCGGTTGAGGTTTTATGCATGCCTTCATGTTGGAAATTAAGACATACATCACGTAAAACGCATGGATTATATATAGGTTAAATTAAGCCTGTGATGCATTTCAATCGTAAACGTGTGAATTTGGGGGGATTGAAGTCAATACTTTTAGAAACCTTGGCCGACTGAGTTTTTGTTAAATGCAGTAAAGTCGAAGCAAACGATTAATGTGGACAAATTTGGCTAACGTTGTTTATATTGCTACCCAATTCACAACTTACAGAAAACGCACAGTTACAGAAGAATAAAATAGAGCAATGGTAATTAATGCATTGGTATCGAAGGTACCAAACTTAGTTCCGAAATACCACACATTCGAACAGACTTGGCCTCGTAGCTCAGTGGGCAGAGCATTGGACTAGTTCACTAGTATATCCCAAAGGTTGCGGGTTCGATTCCCGCCGTGCATGGTCAGGTTAACTTTTCAGCCTGCCCGGTACTTAGAATGACATCAAAAACATCATAACGATAATTTTAGTATTCCGGGTTTTAGCATTCCCCATACTCCATTCCCCATTCCCCGATTCCTTTCCCTGATTCCCCATTCCTTGTTATAGTAATATCCATTAAGTTGGTGACTAAGCATTAGAATCAAGAATGAAGAGTCATTCACTTATTCTTTGCTTGCACATGAATGAATGAATGACTTTATTAAAGAGTGAAAAATCCACGAAGTGGTTTTCATTTTACACTCTGTTTACAGATTAAGTTATTACTATATTATTATCTATCAAAAGTTACTGTCATATTAGTTAAGTTACTATTTAGTACCTATTTACAGTGGTTACTTAAAATTGGCCCTAACGGCCATTTTGAAACTACTTAGATTTGTTTTTTCCCTAATACCTAATGGCAAACTATTCCATAAAACTGGCGCCCAATATTCAAACGATCTTATTTTACTGTTCGTACGTGGCTTGGGAATGGCCAAATGTCCATTTGCAGCCGATCTTGTTCGATAATTGTGCTTATATGACAAAGGTATTAATTTGTCCGAAAGATATGTTGGACCATCTCCATTTAAACATTTATAAAGTAGGGAACAACGCTGCAAGTAACAACGATCAGACATACGAAGCCAATTTAATTCGTCTAGTAAAGGTGTTACATGGTCAAATTTCTTGGCATTAGAATCAAGAATGAAGAGTCATTTACTTATTCTTTGCTTGCACATGACGTCACTACGTATCATTGGGCGCCATCTTGATTGATCTTTAAGTTTAGTTTAGCCGTCTACAGTAACGTAGTCGAGTTTATTTAATCTTTTTGTTTTGAGAATAGTTTACTGTACTATGGATAGTTTTACGGTTTCTGGCTCAATATGTCAAAGAATGAAGAAAACAAATTTTATGGTTGCCACGTGTTTTTGAAAAATCAACCAAGATGGCGTCGATTGCAAACGAGCAATAGAGATAATTCTAAATGTAAACTACTACAACTAATCAACGTCAAATTTTTGAAAGCTCGAAAGTATCACTGTTTTGTAGAAGCACTGTCTAATAGTTGACTGGATATAGCTTCTATAAGGTCAAAAGGGATGCCAAATTATATATGCGAAAATCAGTTTTGGAGACCACACAGCGATACAAATCACCATAGAAATGTATGAGAAAACTTGGCCAACTGATTTTTCAGTACTAACAAAATGAATGTGAAATGCATTAAAGTCGGACCAAACGATTAATTGTTTTGGACATGAAAAGCACTAAGCTAGACATAAAGGAACTGGTCATGGTATGCAAATTTTGAATTAATATTTATTAAATGTTCAAACATTTAGAAATGTATTGTCTATCTAATTGTACGTTTATTAACATAGCATGACCATTTACCATGGCTAGTTTAGCCACTAGTAAGCGTAATACTTGATGTAACTGATCAAAGCCCTGATGCAGGGGAGTGACGTGAATAATGTATGTACAGTACATGTTCTTTAAGCCCATTTTCAAGCGAATTGCTCGCGCGAACAATAAAAAGGTAGTTTTCGCTGACCAATCATATATTGCCAAGATTTGTTTTTCGCTTCGCGCAAAATAATGTCAGCAGAATTTATTATTATTACTATCTACTATTAAAATATCTTTATACACGGTAGCTAATCAAGTATAAAATATTTACAAGGTTTTTGTTGCTTTTCATTAGGCCGTGTAGTTACAAACAGTATAAGAAACTCCCATCCACCCTTCCCAGACAATAAAAGTAAAATATTCACACTCAAACCCCACCCAAATAAGGTAAAAGATAATTCAAGAGTTTTTATTTCTTTCATTCCAAACTTTAGCAGCAGCATAACCGAAAGTACGTTTCATTGAATTTGTTTTTGGCTTCGACAACATAGCTTATTATTAATGCTTCTTAATTCATATCTTACAGAGTTGGATAATTTAAACATATCCAAAATGTTCTTAGGACATTGGCATAAGAGCTTTTGATACACATTTCAGTTGCTGCTCCTTCCTTCTTTCACTTAACGTTTTCCATTCTAGTTTCTTTAAAATATCAATCGAGCGTATTTCATATGGGTCGCCAGTAATAACTCTTGCAGCTCAATTTTGAAGCTAGCTGAAGCTTGCCTCTTAAATATTCACCACAGTCACCCCAAACCATTGAGCAGTTACTTGTGTTCACATTACGCCGTTACAGCTTGTTTACAAATTAAATTAGCACTCATGTATAAACCCAAAATATTTCAAATATAGAGCAAAGAAATGTAAAACCATTCGAAAAGCATTCGAATTTACTGTTTTGAGACCTAAGATGCTTGTTTTCCAAGCGGCACAAAAGAGTAAGGGCGTTTGTACAATACTTTTGTTTGTGGAAACACCAAGTCAATTTATTACTGCAGAGCTTTCGATCCGTAAGCCCGGATCTTCATCATTGCTAATAAGATCTGTAATAAATAACAGTAATAAATTTACTTGGTGTTTCCACAAGCAAAAGTATTATTTGTTTTATCGCCATACAAACCTACAAACAACTTAAAGGGGTTTGTGTTCACACAAAGCCGCCAAGCGCTCCGTTTTCGTCTCGCTCCGTTTAGAAATGCGGCAAAAGTGACGTTTTCAAACAACTTTCCTCCGGAGTAGTGTGAACTAATTGTGACTTTTCTGCGCCGTTTTCAAACCGCTCTGGCGGCCCACTTTGATGTCGACTTGTGTCTGACAACCTTTGTTAATGATTGTGTAGTCAACATTGTATGGGGGAAGTGGAACGGGTGGGGTTATATCAATGAAGAGTTGCAAGTATTTTTAACACACCAGCCGGTTTCAATTAGAAGGCCGGCTAGGCGCCATCCAAGTGATGGTAATATTCTTTAACCATTGTAAAAATGCTTAAAAAGTTGAAAACGGCAGACACAGATCGAGACATGGAACAATAGATCGTCAAATGTTTATCAATCGTGTGCACACTAAACTTGGTTGGACTAATCAATGTCGAATTTCAGAAAGCTAAAAAAAATACTTTCCGTTAGAAGTCGTGTTCTGGCCTTTGTTTTCTTAACCCCATGTTTTTTTCCCATCTTGTCAACCCTTTTGTTCATATTTGTAACATGTTCATTTTTTAATTTTTCAGGATGAATAACTGACCATTTGACACAAAATTCTGAAAACCTAAAACTTTATTGAAACTGGTTTGACTTAGTTTAACGTAGTATCTGTCGTCATAATTTGTATCTGTAGATTAACAATAAATAAAGTGATTCATTACAACAAAATAAATGGTATTTTATGGCATGAATAAGTATTAATTCCCTGGAAAAGTGAACAGTGACGCCGTTAATGGACTGTGTGGGAGGGGAGGGGGGATTCAAGATGCTCCTCCACCAATGCTTCTCAGAATGTAATTTTAGATTCGTTCAAATCCGAGAAAAAATTGGGCAGGAGATGAAAATTATCAACAGACTGCGTTGCGTATCTTGCGCGCATTTATCTCCCACTGAATTTAATTGTCAAGAATTCTGAAAGTAATTTATTACGACCGTTACATTTTTCTCCAAGTGCCTCCACAATGCGGGAAATGCCATTTCAGAGATCCAAAATTTAATTTTCTCCAGGGGAGCATGTCTGTCTCCGGACACCCATGAACAATTTTTTTTGTATTATAGAGATACTGAGTGTTTACTTCCCTTTAAGTCAGAGATGTTATTTACAGTAGACGTAACTACAGATTTTACATTCAATCAATCCAACTGGTAGGTTAGCTTTTTTAGGAGTTGGGACACAGTTTTGCATGGACTATCCTTGAAATTCAAACTTCACGAAAATTGTATACGCAGCCTGTAAACCTGATCCTTTGATGTATGCTGTCCTTGAACAAGAACTCTTCTTGTGTTAAGTGTTCTTCGTACTGTCTGTATCTCGTCCTGTGAAGTATTTTGTTTCGTATACATATAAGACCTTGTACTGTTCAGTGTGTGCAAATAATTTTTGACACATTAAAATACTTTGTAACTTCTTAGATCTGTTTTGTATTCTTGTTGAAAAATGCACGTAACAGTCGTTTACGTATTTTTGTCATATCTGATGTTTTGTATTTGACTAAATGTGTGTATAATATTTCAACTGTGTTCGATTTACTTAATACTTTCTTTCAGTAAATTCAGAATTTGACAATAGCGATTAAGGTGGAATAATACGGGCAACACAATTGCTGCAACTTGCACCAAAATCCGATTTCTACGCATGTTAATTGAAATGTTACAAGTTGCAGCAATTTTGTTGCTCCTATTACTCCAGCTTTAGCAAACAATGCAGGCAACGCACATGTACGCAGCGCGTACCTATTTTTTGTGTTATAGAGTTTTTACTTCCCTTGAAGTCAGTGATGTTATTTACAGTAGACGTAACTACCGATTTTACGTGCAATCAATCAAACTGGTAGGTTAGACTTCTTAGGAGTTGGGACACACAGTGGAAATAATACTAGAGAATTAACTCTCACATACCATTTAGTTGCTCTGGCAGGGCTGGTCGTTTGGGAACAAGTTAGTAAATGCGAACGATATTCCTTGTTGAAACCTTATTGAAAATAATCTCGTCTTCGGGCTTGGCATCCTGAAGCAAAAAAAGTGAAACTGACATTGTCCTTTATTTATTTATTTATTTATTTATTTATTTATTGATTGATTTATTGATTTATTTACTTATTTATTTATTGATTTATTTATTTATTTACCAGTAAATACAAAACCGTTACATAAACGAAAAAATAATAGGTCAACTTTTTATTTCTTGGTTTACGGAGAAAACGAACGTAAAATCTCGAAAGTGAAAAAACTGAACTGTCTGACAACAAGAGTGTAATTCCATTAAATCGAACACAATCCCGAATAGGGATTCCCTAATTGAATAAATCGTTTGGAGTTATAAAATACTACTATAGTATGTGATAAAATATAAGATGGTAAA